GGATGCTTGAGACGCCTAAAAAGCGCGAAGCCGAAGTGCTGAGAGGGTTGCATAAACATCCAAAATTCACCAATTTTTTGGTGATTGTCTTCCGTCACCTGGTATGCAAATCCCTTGCGCTGGCCAATGAAATCTACACTTTCTAGCCGCGAAGCGCGGCAAACGATGGGTATGAAACCTATACCCAGTATATAACAAGACTCCCAAATAATTCATGTCTCAACTTAAACCCCCACCCATGTGAGAAAAAGTAAAAATGTTGCATGTAATTTCTGGACATCGGTTCCTGTTAGAAAATATCTTATGGACTATACTAAGCCGCCCACCAAGACGACCCCTGTGTCCACCCTTCATGGTCCTTTGGTAACCCTAAACCCGCATCCCTAAACCCTAAACCCAACTAAACCTCAATGCCTCAACCCTCATACCAATCCCTAAACCCTCAATGGTCCCTTGGTTGGCCTAACACTAGTACTGACAGTAGCTAGTATGCAGTATTTTGGGAAACTCTAAACTCTAAACCCCGTATAATAACCCTATAAGACCTCTATAAGAAACCCCCGAAACCCTAAACCCTACGCCCTACATATCCCCCTCTTTAACCTCTACAACCCGTGTGAAGGTCCCCCAAAATTTGAGAAACCCTAGACCTTCAACCCCATATAAACCCTACAAGCCCTTCAAAGGTACCCCTACGTTTGGGAAGCCCTATAAAAGCCATACGAAAATCCGCTATACGATCCCTATATAACCCTATCTATCTATGTATATATATATATGAGATACATATATATATATATATCTTTCACCACTACACAGGTACCCCTAACTTTGAAAACCCTACACCCTAAACATCCGAAACGCTAAATCCCATATATCCCCATACAAAACCCGCTAAACCCTATATATTTCCCTATCAATCCCCTGCCAGCAATTAAATACCTAAGACAATCCCCATAAAATCCCTTCTCAACCCTGTATAACACCCTTTTAATCCCTTCAAAGATACCCCTACCCTAAACCCTAAACCCTAAACAACGGCCAAGGGGCGAAGAGATGCTACCCAATATGCCCAAAATCACATAGTCGGAAACCTGGTTAGGGTTGTGGGATTGAGGGTTTAAGGGAGTAGGGATTAGGTTTAGGGCTTAAGGTGGGATTACGGTCTAGACCCTGAACCCTAAACCCCAAACCCTAGTGTTTAGGGTTGAGGTGGTCAGGGATGAGGGTTTAGGGTCCAAGAACTTGAATGCCGAGGTTCAAGGCACCAAGCTGCCAAACAATGTGCTCTTTGGTTGTGGGGAGATTTTAGCCCCCGAAGGATAGCAAATTCTATGCTGCCAACCTGATGTCGGGTGTAGTGTACCCTAAACCCTGAACCCTAATTCCTGAACCCTAAAACTGCAATTTAGGTTTACCATTGTTTAACTCACTGGGCCTCCCAGATACCCCCTCATGTGAAATATTCCCAGCGTGGTATATCATAATATAGGGTTTAGGATTAGGGATTGGGCTCATAATAAACTGTTGTAGGGCACCGGGAGTGGGTTTAATGGTAGGGGGAGGGCATTGCCCATAATCATGTCATTCAACCCCACAGGCATGGGTATATTCATATATATATATATGTATATCAGCTACAGTCTAAACTCCGTAAAGGGGGTTCTATAGGGCATTCTATAGGAAAAATAAGGCGGTTTTTCAGGTGGATATTACGAGTTTAGACCATAGCTCATCTGAGTTATTCCCCTAAAGCCTAAACCCTGAGCCCTTTTTTTGGGGGGTCCAGGTATGCCCTAAGCAAAAAAATGGGGTATGAGGGAAGATCCTTGTAGGGTTTAGGGTTTAGTGTTTGGGCCGGAAATTAATGTTTAGGCCGGAAAGACCTTCGGTTCTATTCCTTTGGTACATGGTTTAGGGTTATGATCAGGATTCATGCAACCTACTGGGGATGATGAAAACTGCTGCAGCATGAATGTGAGCTTCAGTGCGTATCCCCCGCAGCCATCTCAAACAAGGAGAATGCCCAAGCATGTAAGACCCTATGGTATTAGGGTCTCCAACTCTAGTAAGGATGGTAATACGTTGTACAATCAACAAAGTAGGTTTGTACAGCTTTTAATTTCAAAAAATACTCAGTATTTGTCTTGGTGCTCTTTGCTTGTGAAAAGGTAGCGCTGTCCGCTTGCTTTTGCCGCCATAGTGACAGGCAGGTGATGAGCCCGAGTCACAGGGCACTGCGTTTCTCCTGAAGTCCCAAGATGGAGCACGGTGATCATGTCGCAGGCGGCATGTCTAGTCAGGAGCCAGGAGTGGCTTCCAGTAGTCCACCAGGACTTGAGTCGATTGCCCAAGTCGACAGTACAGCTGGAAACCCAAATCCCCTCAGGTCGGAAAGAATGCAGGAGGAGTATCGCCTTCAGGCGGCTCGACATGATTGCTTGAGTGATGAGACCGCTGATGAGCGTGTTGGTGAGCGAGTGGAAGTGGACGCATGGAGAGTTCCAATTCCAGATGATACATCCGTGGAGGATGAACCTCCGCCCTATAATTTGGAACAGTTAGTTTCTGGTGAAGTGCCATCAAGGCACACTGGGGCGGCAATATGCTTCGGAGGACTACCAATGCAGCGTTCCGGGAAACTGGTGATCAGGCTGCAGTGCTAGCCGCGCCAGACGCTAGTCGCGACTTGGCGCACAGAGACAATACAAAGAAAACACAGTAAACAAACAGAATGCCTCGCAAAAAGGTCCAAATTTCCGGTTTTTTAAAGCGCTCTCGGGGCATGCGTTTTTCTGTGTTTTCTCTATGTACACAGAAAATACAGAGAAAATACAAAGAAAACACAGAAAAAACACAGATTGCTTCGCAAAAGTGCCAAATTTCCGACTTTTCACAGGCGACCCCGGGGCCTATGTTTTTCTGTGCTTTTTCTGTGTGTGCTATGTTTTTCTGTGTTTTCTCTATGGTTTCTGTGTTTTCCTGTAAGTTTTATCAGCTCATATCAGCTGCCAGTACAAAACACAAAAAACAACACAGAAAAATACACAGAAAACCACAGACAAAGCAAAGAACAAACACAGAAACAACACAGAAACAACACAGAAACAACACAAATAAACAACAGAAGACACAGAAATAACCGACCGGCTTTCGTGAAAACACAGAACCCACAACAGAAAAAAACGCAGAAAAACACAGAAAAAAAACAACAGAAATAATGCTTTAAGGATTTCCAAAGGTTGCACGCCAATTATGGTCATACGTTTAGGGTTTAGGAAAGGGTTGTTTATTTAAAAGGGTAGTAGAAGAATTCTGGTACATGTGCATCCTGAATCCTTGAAACCTACGTCCTTGTGCTCTTCTTTGTCCGTCACAACCCTTAGAAAGGACCTCCCCCCAACATGTGACCATTACATAATGCCTTACGGGTCCAAGTACCCAATAATTGATCCTTGGGCGTGGTTGTAGTACCTGTAGTGGAGGTTTTGAAAAATATGTTGCCCAGAAACAGTGCCCCTAAACCTTCAACTCTAAAACTAAATTCTTAAACCCTAAACCCCAAACCCTGATCCAGACACCGTGTCAGGCTTGCCAAAACTGCTTGGAGATGTTGCCTCCGACATCAAGGCAGAGAGTCGATCAGGAAGTAGGGGTTTTGGGTTCAAAGGGGTTGGGATGTAAGACTTGTGAGCCTAGAGTGTGTTGCTTAAGGATATTGGGGTTAAACAATTTCGGCGCAGAGTTTTGGGAGTTCAGTTTAGGACGTGGGCATGGGATCTAAGACTGGGAGCATTGGATTTGGCAGTTGAAGCTGAAGCCAGTTGATGCATTCTTTGCTAAGATTTCGAACAATGTCTCTTCTCCAAGCGCGAACCCTAGAACCTAAACCAACCCAAAACCCTAGAACTGGTAACAACGGGCTTTAATCTAAACCCCAAAGTAAGAGAGGAGTCGCTACCGTCGAGCAACAAACCCCGAACGCTTGGCTGAGGGCCTCACAGCCCGAGCGCCCATACGAAAAGAGAGACGGAAAGGTGGGGGTAAAGCCTCACTGTCTGACTTGGACAGGCCAACAAGGAGTAGCCTTGTTTACGACAGCGGAACTCGTATAAGGAATGGCCGTACCAAGGCCACTTTTACGGTAGTAAAGAGTACAAAGCCTGCCCCATTTGCTCAGAAGTTAGGGTTTAGACTTCGCGGGGCTCCTCCAATGGGGGTCCTGGGCCCCGGCCGGATTCCCCAGGTGGCCTCTTAGGCGCCTTCCTGGTCTTCACGAAAAGCTCTCTTTTCCCGCAAAGCCCTTCAACACAAGCCTCTAAAGGAACCGCTCCCCTGACGCCCGTTGGTTTTGGGCCTCTTGGCGACCCCCAACCGGACCGGATGTCCGAGATAATCGGCCAGCGAAAGTACCCCAAGTCTTTACAAAAAGCCTCTCCAAAGGCCCTACGCCAGAGCCACGTTGGCTGCGTGCCCTTGTGGGCTACCCCCAACTGGAGCGGATGCCCGAGATAATCGGTCATGACGGTTGGCAACCTTCGGTTTCGGGCCTGTCAAGGGCTACCCCCTGCCCGACGTAGTTAGTCACGAGGGCGGTGGTGATTCGGCAAAACCTTGGCTTGCGGAAGGCCCTGCTCGGATGTCCGACGCGAGCGCACGGCCCGGGGCGCTTCACGCCCGAGCGCGCGCCCTCGCCTGACACACCCCAAACCCTAAACCCTAGAACAGGCAACAAGGGGCTTTAGGGTGGATCAAGATGAAAAGTCTAGCCTTAGGACCGTTGGGTTTTGGATTCTTGGTTTTACTCGGTTGCTGTTAAGGAACTGAAATTACAGCGGCATAAAAAGGAAACTCTATTCTTCACTACTATACCCATATTATGGTAGCTTGAATTAAACCCCGAAAGCCCGAAACCCTGTACACTCTTAAAGCCTGAACCCTAGGCCTGAAACTTCAGGGCATCCCGCCCCTACGATCCAACCTCTTTGCTTCACGTATGGTTTCATGTGAGGGTTAGAACGAAAGGCCAGGGTTTAGGGTTTAGAGCTCAGGGTTTAGGGCTACCAAATCCTGAAGAGTTACAATAGGTCATACTGGGCTTGTTGAGGGAATATGTCCATACATATATATATATATATGAGCTATTATAGTCTCAACTCCTAGCACCCCTGTCCGTAAGCTTTGCAATACTCCCCTGTATAATCCCGTCTAAGGAGTTTAGACCGTGGCTCATATGTTTCTTTGTATCGCTATATGTTCTTATGTATCCTCAGGCATATCCCTTTTCTAAACCTTATACACCCCTAGATGATGCATTGCCTAAACCTAAACCCGAAACCCTAAACCTATCCCCCTTGATGACCCATCTAGTAGTCCCCTATGCGCTCCCTTATATAACCCCCCTTAAGGAACGTAGACTATTGCTTTTGGTCTTACCCTACACCCTAAACCCTGAAGTAAACCCTAACCCCTAAACCCTAAACTTCCTACGACCCTATAGGATTAAACGTGCAAGGTTTGGCGTTGAAGGTTTTAGACTGAAGGTTCGGGGTTTAGAAGTTTGCGTTCAATGTTTAGGGTTGAGAGCTGCGGTTTCAAAGTTCAAGCTTGAAGAATTAGGGTTGAAGGTTTCAACTTGAAGGTTTGGGATTCTAAGTTTCCACTGCAAAGTTTAGGTATCTCGTGGGAAGGCTAAGAAGACACAGCACAAGAAAATTTAGCGCGTAACCCAAAATCCTGAACACTCAACCCTGAACCCTAATCCCTAATCCCTAAACCCCAGTCCGTAAAGCCCCCCCCAGTTTGTTCAGCATTGCCGCAATGAGCGCGATAAACCATGGCCACACAAGCCGGACGATTAGCCTTGGCTTAGGGTTTAGGGCCGCGACAAGAAAGTAGGGTTTAGGGCCATTGTCTTATCCATGCATCCTCTGTTGACTAGAGCTAAGGTCATGCAACTTGCAAAGAGTCTTCCATGGACAGGAAAGACCAATATATAGGATTGTGATACATATTGCGGTCAAAATAGTTTGAAAATCTCAGCCCTAAGCCTCACAACCCCCCAAAAAGTATTCTCGATCCCCTATGCTAGGCCCTAAACTTTAAGCCCCCAAGCCCCCAAGCCCTAAACCCTAAACCCTAAACCCTTTACCCCTAAACCCTAAACCTCTAAGCCCTAAACCCTAAACCCTTAACCCCTAAACCCTTAATCCCTAA